ATATATAATACATATTATTTCCGATCAAAAGACCTGACGAAGCAAAGTTTGCAGTGACTAATCTTCTTTCCCGGTGCTTTTGGCTATTTGTTGCTTAGTGACACGCAAAATGTAAATGAACTTTTCAGAATACGACAGCATTTATTCAACTTTCTTTGACCAAATGTCAGGGTTTGAAGAAAAATAGTTTCTCCATGTTTGGTTGTCTGTCAGAATGCCTAAACTGTAAACGAAATCGCGTTACTCATCATCCCCTGACAGGGAGGCAGCTGAGACTCGACACGGAGGAAATACTTGACTAATCTGTGTGCGCACAGTATTCGGCAGATCATCAACATAAATTGTTTTTCTACTATTTACGCAGTTGGCTCAATCTTGATTGGCGTCCTTCAAAGCCAATATAAAACGATGCACGCTTACCACAATGTTGGCTTATAAGAGGTCATTTTTTAGCGTTTGTAAAAGAACTGTTTGGATTTCTTTAGCCTTATTGGGTATAGGATGCGAGAGGAATAATTAAGAAAACCTAATTTCACTCGGATGGTATTTATTAAGAAACGTTTGTACTCACATGTGAAATTTTCATGCCTACTTGAGTTTCTCCAGACTTCGTATTTTCCACAAAATCCTGCTTTTTACTTCGTTTGCCATTTTAGATCATTTGCTCTAGAAAAGCAGACTTTAAACAAATTAGCTGTGTGCTTCTGTACGTATCAGGGCATAAGGTCCTCTCATTTATCACGCCAAGTCATGTGAACGGAACAACCGATTACTATTGACGCCCTTGGAAAAGAACAGCTGCTCTTAATTAGTGATCACGTCCTCTGCGTTAAACGCTTGAATTGGAAAAAATGTGCTTTGCGTGTGTCCAAGTAACTGCTTTATGTCACTTCATACATACGAAAAGATTTCTAAGGATTGAGTATACCTTTTATATTTAGAAATAACTTTTGCCAAATAGCCCGACTCCTAAAAGCTGGCCATAGTAAGGTCAACTTCCAGTTGTCTGCGAGGTCTGAAACAATATTCTACTGTCGTATATGCATTCTTGCTTTGCTGTGGTATACGTTAAGGTTGAAAATTGTGTAAAAGATTTGGCGAACAAGAGTTATACACACTTTCAAACCATAGTACATTTTCTAATACTGAAGTCGCGCAGCACGCAATGCAATGCTTTTTGCTTCTTTAAAACGTCTATTTTTTAGTATGACGGACAAAATCCTTTGAAACAATCGCAGCTATTTATCCACCAAATCGTTAAACAACAAGAATAAGTTTAAAGCGGTTACAGTGATATTTCTGGAGGGCTGTAATCAAGCTGGGTCTAAACCAAACTTATTTCTACCCTGTACAAACCGAGCTTGCATTTAGTTACAGTACCATGAGGTTCATCTCAAGAGATAAGAAAACAGTAAGCCTGGATAAACCTCTTAAACTCGTGTGAATGTATTCATGCACACGGTGAGTCTGGGGGCATCAGTACTTTCATTTAAATATAAGTTGAAATCAAACGAATCTGCCATTTAAATCGTTGTCACTTTTATGACAATGGACAGGCTCACCATAAATCTTATTGGCCTTGAGTTTCACACAAAGTCCTGGGGATGTCAGTGGCGAATAATTCGATTTAAGTAGCATTCACTTTACGACGTCACATGATAATTCGAAACAGAAAATTATTAAGTCAACGAACATAATTGAATTTGGCTGTGGATGTGTTATGTCTTGAACAACGATGATATTCTGATTGTCATCATGATGCATATGAATTGGTACAAAAGATGCGAACTTTAAAAATTTTATATGTGAAGGACACCGATGCCATGCGCCAAAAAGGTCTCACCTGTGGTACTATCATACAAGATTCTGGAAGTAATGATTCGTCCGCATGAGTTAAACAAATCTTCCAGCTGTTGCTGTGACATTGAGATTGGAAGCCCGGATATGTAAAGATTGGCACCTTTGATTGACTCAGAACTCGGGCGGGCTAGAGAAACCTGTTAAAAGAGATGAACACTGAAAAATGACAGCGTTGAAGGAACAAAAAGTTTGAGTTTGCATACTCCATAGCTTCGTCCACTAGAAAGTGCCTTAAAACCCGAGAAGACGACCTTAAGAAATTTTGGACTAGAGGCATGTTCAATACGCCGAACAAAAAATTATGACATCAGTTATTGCACCACCCGGTGCCCTATGACAAGGTAGGATTTCGCACCTTAGGTTTCACCATACTGATTAGTTCAATGTGCACTTCCGATCCAGACTAACAGAGCTGACAGGGAATGCTTTGACAATTGTATTTCTTTTTAAAGAGCACTTCAAAGCTCCAGGATGTGGTATTTCTCAGGAAGTACTAATTTGTATGGTTAAACTGGTTCATTTACGTACACGGGAAAGAGAAACGTATATAATCAAGTGAATCATATCCGATTGTTCATCTGGTCGCTGAAGGCATTCTGCACCGCCATTAAATCGTTAGGGGACAAAACATAATTACTTCACAGGGGGCGGAAATGGCAAACAAAGCAAACGAAATTGTCAGTCACACAGAACTGAGTCCACCGTGGTCTGAAGTAGCACAAAATACTCCATGTACGAACAACCATGGGGTTCAGATGTTATCTCTTGTTGTGGAATAATAAGCCCTTGACATTAAGCAGAGAAGCCAGCCATAAAAATGTAAATTACCCGAATAAAACTGTAACGGATGTCAACCACAACCTTCAGAGCACTTTCGGAGACATCTGCATCCCATACAGAAAAGAACGTAGAAGGCCAAAAAGGCGTTCGCAAATTTTATTCATTATCCGTAAGGGTATTACCGACTGGCTGGTTAACTTTCATGGATACCTTCAGCCAAGTTGTTTCCTTTTGTGCAGCGACTCGATTAAGTTGTGCTCTTGCAATCATTGCCCTTCGACAAAACATGACACTCATATTCAAAAGCACTTCTCTGAATGCAAAACTGAGAGATTCACGACCCTGGATGTATGTCTTGTATAAATTTAACTTCATGGGTATCCTATGGAACAAAAAACACGACTTTTGGAGGAATCATCCTTGCTCCGCCTCCCCATACAGAATGCTTTGTATTAGAGGCGATGAGTGCAGCCGCCTAATAACCATGGGTATTTTCAACAATAACAATGAGGAGCCGGCAGCAATGGTCACACAAAAATATGGCGACTAAAGGACTGAATATTTACTTCGCATTCTAATCCGGAAACGTTTGTTTCACACCAATACTGCAACATAACTCATCAGGCAAAAAACTAGTGGGATGAATACAAAAAAATGTCAGATTGGCAAAGCATGAGCAAAATCAGGTTTGTGCAAGAGAATCCGCCAGTAATCCATGGACGTCAGAGCGAGGCGATGGATGGCATACACAGATAATCATACACACTCTTGACGCGCGAAATTTCCTCCACACAGTTATGGACTCGCGCCAGTCCGTACACACACACCCTCGGAGATGACTCTTCCCCAGATAAGCATGATTGAGCGCTAATAAATTTGATTAGACAGCGGGGCACGCTGATGAAATAATTGGCGTCCCTACAAGAACTCTTCGTGTTCGTTTGTTTTGGTTGAGATAGACTAGACAACAGACTATTGACTGAATCAGTCGATTCATAATGAATTCAAAAATGTTTGGGTTTTCAAAACATTTTCTTTATTTTTGATTAGCCTAATCAGATTAATCCGTCTTCTGTAAGAAGCCGAATTCGTCCCAACTCAGCCTGTCGATGGGTGAAGTCATAGTGGGAAAATCGATGCAACGCGGACTCCTTCTATGCGAAATCACTACCCTAATGACTCCACAGTCCATCTCCCCGTAAACCACTATATAGACCGGATATCAAACATAGAAGAGTATTTTTCTCCAAAGGGGACAAAGAAGCCCACATTCTCCCAAAGTCCGCTCTTTAAGGAACCACTGTACTACGTTCTCTGGAAGGCCTTTGAGGATTTTACCGCGTCAGACCTGATCTCATGATATTGTTATTTACAGACGGTTGGAATGAGAGTAAAAAAGAATTTACTGTATTACGATTGACGTCTAGCTTCTTCAGAACTGTACTTAGAACCTTGACACTAGTTTCCTTAATGTGAAAACTTGTTTTGATTTGATGCCATATTGCTCACATTATTTAACCTTGAAAAAAAATTGGTCTGTCTGAAATAATATCAAGTATTCTGGCTGATATGATTAGAAAAGTACCGTTGCAACATTTTTGTACAATAAAACACACTTAGCTAATAATCACACCCACGCGCAATATGCAATTTTCGCATCTATATAGGTATTAGCTCGTTCAAAAGCATTTGTGCGCTGTTTGTTTAATGCCAATTACGGAGATTATCTGTGTGCGATAAACTCAAGCACAAAATGACTGGTGGTCTCACTGAGATTTACTAGATAATCAGGGGCGATATTCGTCCCTTCTGACAAACAGTTGTCTATTCTTAATCTTATAACAACGTAATTGTCAATACAAAATTTGAGAGCAAACTGTCACAACCACCAACACCTGAATACACATTACATTTAACTCTGCGCTGATTTGATAAAACAACTTTACCAAACGTTGTTCATTCGGACTGACGAAATCTATAAAGACCTCCTAAGTACAAGGCTTAGTTTCGGTCCTTCAACAGACAGTATCACGGAGCGCAAAGCTACATGATAATTTCAATATTCTGTCTGGAATGAGATGCGCTTTGCCAGATTCCACAAAGTTTGTCAGTGACATCATTTTTGTGCCTTCATTTTTTTATGTTAAGCCAAGGAATTGTCCGCTAGCCTAATTTTAAAACATAAAATACCAGTTAAAGGAATAAATCATCAACATTCATTCGGAAAAATTGGTTAAGACAATCTAAAGAGATGAATTTATTTTTGAAGCATCCTTAAGAATGAAGCCTAAAGATGTCTGCTGAACAACTAGTGTTTATCTCACAGTTGTTTTCGGTGACCGAGAGAACTCACGTCACTAGAATATGACTCATTCTCTTCCTCAAAGTAGTTATGCGAAAAAAGTCAACTTATTGAGACCATTTACAAATTACCGAACCGAAAATACTTTTCATTGGCGCAGTAAACCTGCTATATATTTCGGCATCCCCAGAAGCCAAACTGCTACCTACGTTTACCTCCCACAGTGGGAATCAAAAGCCCATCTTCCATAAATCAGCTGAAGACAACCAAACAATGAGTGTTGCTAAAAGTCCGGAAGAGACTGAAGCCGTTCAAATGAGGAATCCATTGAAAAGAAAACAAAATACCCTACCTGTGAGAATCCATTTATCAAGTTGTTTTGTAGATACACGTCCAAGTACGCACTAGAACTTAACGCACTAGTCGTAAGCAACTTTGAGATAATTAAACAAACATAAGAGAGAGATGTTCCTGTTAAAAACAAACTCATGGCATCTCGGACGTGTTGGATTTGCAGTACGCTTAACAGTGTATCGAGGTGTAGTCTTCTTGAACATGATAGTTGCGTAATCCAAACGCATGTATTGGTTGTATTCTTTTTCTGCACACCCTAAAGTAAGGGATATAAGAATGGCTCGAGGTTATTTTTTGACAACTTGGTAAGGCCTCCACGCTGACCCAGAGTAGCCGACAGATTGTATAGAATAGTTGCACCTTACAAGCCAGAGATTACTGACTGGGAAATCAATGCCTACCACACTACTTAACTCCTCAGCTCCGTACTGCGAAAATGTGCAGCGAGCCGGTGTGGTCCTAGCAACCAGCACTTTTTACCGTCAGGTTTCACGGTATCTGTTCATTTAAAGCTGAAAAATGTAGCAAAAAACTGCTCCCACTAAGTGCTATTTAGTTATTTCGCAGTGTAAAAATGAATTCTTGGTCCCATTCACATTCATATAAAAAGTTATCCATATTATATATATATATACGTTAATAAAGCGCCACAACAATTTTACGCTGGCTTCAGTACAGTGGGCACTCGAAGCTACAGCTCTGTCGATTGGATGTCTGTAAAGAATCCGTTCATACGACTCCAGCCGGAATGGGCACCCAAATCGACCAAAAAGCCCACTGGCTCCGTTGTTCACTGTCTAATTCCATTCAAAATCGAGTTTAGCTGGTTTTCGTCCAACCCTCAATGAACATGCTCAAGCCTCTCCCTTGGAGTGGATATTGCACACCCTCACAGTGTAAGCAATACGACTGACCGGAACTTATAACGTAAATTGTCTGGGCACGTCAGAAAGGCGATTTTTTGCATATCCAGCTATCAGATATGACGCAAAATGCTCCACTGGGAACTCTGTATTCAACTACAACGCTCAATTCAAAATTCTACGAGACTGATTGCACAACGATAGAGACCCGAATGCACGTGGTGGCCGCTTGAAACAGACGAAATGGCACCTCAGTGGTACTTGCGAAGGAGGCGGGACTTGGGATAATATAGATGATCGTCTTTTAGTTTACCACTCCAAAGTGGGCTTACACCATCTTGAACACGAACGACCTGAGTTTGCTCATCAATGTGTCCAGATTGGGCATGCTGCATAAATCACTGACAGACGAAGACAAACCTAGACATCCACTCCCGTCAGATTACCTGCTTAAACTCAGACGTCTTTGACCACAACAAGCTCACGACACCTTTCGGTAAACTTAAAACAGTCGCTCAAACTAAATTAACCAGAGTGATGTATACGGTAATCTCAGGTAATACACAGATAATAAGTGATCTTCGTAGAGGATAAGTCATTTTGCCTGGGACCGCACGAAAGCTACACTCTTGAGATCACTGACTGTCATCGGTTAGCCAGTTTAATAGGACCTACTTTACTTTTCACGCAGGAAGAAATCGCACCCACGGGAGAGAGTGAAGCAAAATATTACCCTGAATGTTATAGTTAACAGCCACGTTCTCTAATCATCGGTCCTTCCGAATATGGTACGAAGACCGTCGCCTCCATAGTGAGCGACGGCACAGTACCACAGTCA